TGACCAGTTCTCACATAATGAGTTTGACTTCAGTGGATATAGTGAATATAGCCATCTTTATTGTCCTGTTAAAATTATTTAGGAAAGGAATAAAATTCAGTGTTCACTCATTTATCCCTGAGCATTTTCAGTAAAACCTGCAAGAAACTTATCTGCAGTGAGCTACTGTAATTTAACTTTCTAGGAAGAAGATATTTTCTTCTGTGCAATACTTAACTCACATTGCTTCTCAACCTACAAATTATTTCATGAGCGAGGACAATAGGCACTGGTTTCCATTGTCATCCTGTTGTTTGACATTGAGTTCTCTGGGAAGGTATCCTGGGAAGTAATTGGTACTTTTGACACAGTGATGGCTGTGGTAATAGCTAGGTTATTAGCCTCTTCACTGAGCTGTCTTGGTTCTCCTGGGCTGTATTGCCCCTCGTAGTCTTCTAGTTCTTATGTACTGTTCATGTCTATATACATTTGTATAATTCTGTGCTCAGAGAATACAGGAGGCAATTAACAGATGGCCAGTGTTCACAGTGTGATTGGAATTCGACTCCTGATTTTTAGAATTCTCCTTAAAAGTAGTAGTTATAGTAAATTTCTTATCTTTATAATTCAGTAATCTTGGAAGCAGGTGAATATTTGAATCTGAACTGCCTTCAGTAAAGGTGTTAAAAACTGTACAGCTTCTTGCTTGATGCATATCAGCATCTTGAGGTTTTTTTTTTTTTTTTTTTTTTTTTTTTGCACAGATGTACCAAGAGTCCCTTTTGGTTTTTGTCCCTTGTTTCCTTATTTTGCCTTGGTGAAATGGACTGAAATTTACATTTTAAACAATTGAAGTATCTATCACTATTTTCCTACAGACTATCTTAAATCTTAATTTCTTTTAATTCATTTGTTGTCTCCCAGCCTTTCTTTGGTTTTACAGAAATCTCCCCAATTGACAGCTAAATTTATTATGTCTCAAGAATAAGTCCATGAAAGCTATAGGTTAAATAGAGAGTTGTTTGGGTGCTTTGTAGAAATCCTTAGAGGTTTCTATGAAATGAATAGTTTGTGTATATGAATGCTGTACCACGGCACTATTGTAGAGGTTGGAGGACAGTTCCAGGGGACCAGTTTGTTCTTGCCACCCTGTGGCATTAGATCAGACTTAGGTTGTTAGTCCTCTGTGCAAGCACCTCCATCTGGTGAACCATCTCCCTCATCCCCAGAGAGTTCCTGTGTTATTGAGTGTGTATGATAGAGACTCTTACCTAAGGTGTCTTTTTGATAACATAGCACTTATTTTTATCTTTTATCATTATCAGTAAAACTATGAATATCCTGGATATTTGAGAAATGTGGAAAAGCTAAAAAAGAAAAATGCATAAAAATTAAGCTTTTCTTTTTAAGATTTGAGTTTTAAAATGGTGTGTATTGTCTGTATGTTGAAATGTGAATGTGTGTATACAGGTGCTGATGTTGTCTAGAAGACAACATAGGATTCCCCGGAGCTGGAGTATATGTGCTTGTGAGCTGCCTGACATGGATGCTGGCAGCTGATCTCAGGTCCTCTGCAAGGGCAGGAAGGGCTGTCAACCTCTGAATTACCTCTCTAGCTCCTAAGCTTCACTTTTAAATTGGGAAAATCTTGGACATATTCTAGTAAACTCTCTCTTTTTATACAGCAGTACATAACAAGCACATTTCCTGTAATGGTTGCCTAAGCCCTGGGGTACCAAGTTCACTTTGGCCAGTCTCTTTTGGCTTTGTCTTTAACTTTCACCGACTTTGTTGGTGCTAAAAATAAGAGATGAAGTTTTTCTGTTAGAAACTAAACCCAGTGTGCTGATTTAGTTATTAAAAAAAAAAAAAAAAAAAAAGATACTGGGTTTTTATTAGATCCCAGATGGTTTATCTGTTTAGTCCTTGTAGCTGGAAAACCGAACATGTTAGTTCACACGCATGATAGGCATTGATTGAGGTAATGAGCATAATTACACTGTTGCTGTTGCCTCAGGCTTGGTCTTTTAGCAATTTTAGTACATTAAGCTGTGCAAAGTTTTCAAAAAATATTTCTATTACTTGTTTGTATAAATATTTTGACTGCCTATATGCCTGCACACTACATGTTTACCTGGTGACTGCAAAGACCAGAAGAGGGCATCATATTTCCTGGAACTGGAATACAGTTGTGAGTCACCATGTAGGTATTGGGAACCAGTCCTGGGTCTTCTAGAAGAGCAGCCAGTGCTCTTAATTACTGAGTCTTTTCAGCCCCAGCTGTGCAGAATTTTAACATATGCCAACAGGAGGTAAAAAGAATTTCAACTATTTCTGTAATTGTTTCCTGAAAGATCTTGACAGGCAGTGATTTTGGATTCACCATGTTTTACTGCTTTTTATCCCGTTCATTATGCAAAAGGTCTTAGAATGTAGTGTTCTATTCTATGAACAAGGCCCTTAGGAAATTCCCTTTCTTACAATTAAAATCTATTTGGGTTTTGTTTTTGTAAGGGTCATACCTATACTGCCTATATTCAGTAGTTTCTTGCCTTTTTTCGTTTGTAGTTTCAATTACCTGAAGCTATCTATAACCTGAAAATATGAACAGAAAATTCCAGAAACTTACAAATTTGTAATTATGAGCCATTCGCAGGAGTGTGGTGAAATTTTATTTGTTCATTTTCTCTTACACAGGACTTAAATTATCCATTTGTTTCATGTATTTACACATGATTATTACTGCCTGTCAGCCATTTAGGAAGCCATTGTCAGATAACTGTTTCTCAGACCACTTGTCATGTCATAGTGTTGTGTTAAACTAACCCTTATTTTACTTCCTAATAACCCAAAGCAAAAATAGTGATGTTGCAAAGGTTATTATAGTATATTGTATGTTACGTTTAAGTTTTGTTAATATTCTAATTTGCCTAACTAAAAGGTAACACTATATCATAGGTGTGTGTACAGGGAAAACTATGGCAGTGTACACTGATGGGGAAACTGAAATTACATTTGTATATCCTAGGCTGGTCTCAAACTCATGGTAATCTGCTTGCCTCTGCCTTTCAACTGTTGGGATTGCTGCTTTGTTTTACCACATCTGTTGCAAAATGTGTTGATAACTGTGTTTAAATATCTTAAGATTTTGTTGGTCTTGTCCTTCCTTTCTCCTTCTCCTCCCCTTCAAGACAGGGTTTCTTTGTGTAGCCCTGGTTTTCCTGGGACTCACGCTGTAAACCAGGCTGACCTTGAATTCAGAGATCTTTCTGCCTCTGCCTTCCCAGTGCTAGGACTAAAGGTTATACCACTATGCCCATTGAGTAGAAACATGATTAGTTTTAAATAAAGGTCAGAGGCTAAAATAAATAGACAATGTAAAGGCTGCTCTTTGTGGTTTTAATTGTGTCTTGTTAGTACACTTTATCAAACTGTAGGATGATAGAAATTAGGGTTCTTTTTACTTGAAGAAAGAAAAATTCACTGTTCATTCTTGTTTCTCTTTGTGCAAGTTTATGATCAGTTTATCTAGACTTCTGTCATTGTATTGGAAAGTATTTATAGAAAGTGAAGTCCAGGGCCTTTCTGATTGATTGGTGTCATCATAGTAAATTTAATTCTGTTTAAAACAGCTTGTGGAGATATTGTCAAATCAATTGTTGCAGTGTCCAGGTGAGTGCAGGAAATGCTTTGGGAAGACTTAAGAGACTCTGAGGAAGGCTCTCCTTGGTGGGGATTAAGGCTTCCAAGGCAGAGTACTCAGTTCCACTTGACTGGACTTAGATGGATTTATGTCAGTTCATAACCCACTCAGTGAAATGTGATGGCTCCTGACAACTGAACAGTGCTGATAAAAAACAGAATAAAAGATGTTGGTAAATCTTTGGCAGTGTATAATTTGTATGTAGATTTGGTTTTCCTCATGTAGTATTGCATTTAGTTTTACTTTTCCTCTGGTATCAATTTTTCTTGTTATAAAAATCATGTAGGGAGAAGACAGCCTTGTATAATAACACCATTTTATTTCCAACTCAGTAATGTCATGATGAGAGAGGTTGTTTTGAGGAATTAGTCATTTTAGAGTAACTAACTTAAAATATTCCTATTTCAGTTCACTGGTATTAGGATTTCTCTTTAGAACAAACTCCATTATATTTGATTATCACAAAATTTTACTCATGCATAAATTTGATGAATGTTTGAATAGCTACTTCTATCATTCCTGTGTCTCTGAAATTCAATCATTTTCTTAGGAGGCCAGTAGGGCCATCTGTTGCTCAGCTTCATCTTTATAATGGGGTATTCTTTCTCCCTTTTCATGTCAGATAATAAAAGTTGGCCTGTTTATTTTCCTTAATATGTCAGTGCCTGACATGCTCTAGGAAAATGGGTAATTGTCTAGTGACATATGACTGAATGTGCCCAGTCTTGTCTGATCTTATAAGCCAAACAGGGTCAGACTGGTTAATACTTGGGTAGAGGAAATCAATAATTCTTTCCACTAAATGAATGCATTTAAGTGTGAAGAAATGAATGACCACATTGAAAATACTTGCTGTTTAGATAACAGGAGATTTAAAAATCTAAACACTAACATTCAAAAACAGTTTTTCCTTTACACAGTTGATTTGGTTTTCTGTCTAATGGCAGTGTTATTTGTCTTTCAATTTGTTGTGCAGAAATCACTCTGGGCATTCACAGTGGCATCTTAGAAGGAACCCTATTTTGTATGGACTCATCGCAGTCCCGTTCAGCACTGCTGTCTTTGTGTTAGGACTTTCTGCCTCACAAGACAACTTTGTTTTCTTTTGTTAGGGATTTGACTTTTTGTGTGTATGCCCATAGGATACTTATCTTTTCTGTGTAGTGGTGTAAAATTATGGCTGTCATAAGATTTTAGTACATAATTTTTAAACAGAGTGTGAATTTTTTTTACAGAGAACACACCCATACACCATAATTTGTTTATTGCACCTTCTTCTACTCCTTTTAGTGACTTTCTCCCTTAAATATATATTCAGATTGAGAATCTCCAGGAACAGCTGAGAGATAAAGAGAAGCAGATGAGCAGCTTGAAAGAGCGAGTCAAATCCCTGCAGGCAGACACCACCAACACAGACACAGCGCTCACCACCCTGGAGGAGGCTCTTGCAGAGAAAGTGAGTGATTGGCCTGATTCTTCCCAGATCTTTGAGTTCTGTTTTCTCATTATTCTAAAATTGGCTATAAATGCAGAAGAAATCCTTTCATGGAAACAGTTCTTTTCTGTTGCTGTGCATAGTGGAAAGTGGAGAGACGGTCTAGTTACTGTTAGATGTTCGCACCACATTTCCTAAAGAGTCAGCATGTGTTCCCCATTTTGCTGCTTTCTGAACAAAAAGAAAATTCATCATTTAACAAGATGTACCAGATACTGGACATTGATTATCAGGATGCTATCTTAGACTAGTTGTCTTCTGTTACCTTCCTGCCTCATGACATATTCATGGATTTTATTAATGAATATTACATCCTTACTACTTTTCTAGTCTTGGCTTATCCCTTAAATAATTTTAAATTTTCCTTATTTTTATGTATATAGAAGTGTTGTTTACTTCAGTGTTTGTGTATCACATGTGGCCTGTGTCCACAGAGGCCAGAAGAGGGCATTGGATTTCCTGGTACTGTAGTTACAAACAGTTGTAGCTGCCATGTGGGTGCTGGGAATTGAACCTGGTTCCTCTGGAAGAGCAGTCAGTACTCTTAATCACTGAGTACTGGCTTTCATGACTTTATTTTTCCTTTATGAGTACACTTAACTTTTTAAGGAATGGTTGAATGAAGAAGTGGTCTAAACCATTTTAGAAGGTATTTCAAAGAATCTCCTTATGATGTTTTTGTTTCTTGTTGATCTTTTTGTTTTGTTTTGTTTTTAGAAGGGGACCTGTTTTGTGATGGAGGTCTCATTTGGCTTAGGCTGGCCTCAGGCTCACAGTGTAGCTCAGTGTATTAGTCAGGGTTCTTTAGAGGAACAGAACTTATAGGATGAATGTATTGTCCGTCTGTCCGTTCATCCACCCATCTAATGGGGATTTATTAGAATAGCTTACAGGCTGTAGTCCAGCTCATCCAATAATAGCTGTCTACCAACTGAAGGTTCAAGAATCCAATAGTTTTTAGTTAACAATTCTGGATGTCTCAGCTACTCTTTAGTATATGCCAGAATCAAGAAGAAGAAGGAGAAGGAGAAGGAGGAAAGAAAGAAGAAATGGACTTGCTAGGGAGAGTGAAAGCAAGCAGGCAAAGAGAGAGTTAGCTTCCTTCCATGTCCTTTCCATAGGCTAACAATAGAAGGTATGGACCTGATTAATCCACCTCAAAAGTTCTGGATTAATGGTGTATTTTCCCACCTCAAAGATCTGGATTAGAAGTGATTCTTAAGAAAAAAAAATTCCTTACTGGTATGCCCTTTAGCCATTTTAGTTAATTCTAGATGTAGTCTTGTTGACAACCAAGAATAACCCTTAACACTCAGGGTAGTCTTCAACATTTGATCCTCCTATCTCCAATTCCCAAGTGCTGGGATTAAAGTGTTGTTCTATCATGCCATACTTTCCTTGAGATATTTAACTCAATTCTTTTTAGAGGCATAAGGCAACATTCCTTAGGTCTTTCGGACGCAGCATGTGTTGATATGTTGCCAGAATGAAGGCATGGTCTGTCAGCATGTTTAGAAATATTATCGAGAAATATAATACATATCTCTAGCCTTCACACTTCCTGAACATTTGGTAGCAGAATTTTTAATTTTTCTACCTCCTCTTTGTCCTCTTTTATGTTAGATTATTGTATCATAGCTTCCCTCCCCCTTTTGATAGTATGAGTTACTAGTAATGAGTTACTAGTAATTTCTATTGCTTTGTGGGTAGTGTAGATCAGTATCATTATGGTGAAGAAATCTCCTAAGGGCATCCAGATACCTTTTTTGTTACTTGAAAATTGAGTTTAAATGATATTATTTCAAGAGAATGCTTTAGTGATATCTAATAATATTTGAAATGATAGGAAACCACTCTTAGAATGTAAAAATAAACAAAGTTGGACATTTATTGGTTACAGTAGGAAAAATGGGTTCTTTGAAAAGTGAAATCTTGAAGAGCTTATCATTGTCTTTTTAATAGATGATAGAAGTGTTGAATTAGGTCAGAGGAAGCAGAGTATGTTTTGTGATACAAGTTCAAATGGGAGTTTCCCCACAATGTGGTGTGCTTTCCTTTTAGGAACGGACAATTGAACGCTTAAAGGAGCAGCGGGACAGAGATGAGCGAGAGAAGCAAGAGGAGATTGATACCTACAAAAAAGATCTTAAAGACTTGAAAGAAAAAGTCAGCCTGTTGCAAGGAGACCTCTCAGAGAAGGAGGTTAGAATTGTCAAAAGGAGTTATTCACTTTGCTTAGTCATTGCATACGTATCTGCTGCTGTCTGCATTGTACAGTATTCTGTGGTAGGCTTTCTAGATGCTCAGGAAACTGTGAGGGCTACAGTAGATTGCTCATCACTTGCTAGTCCTTTACTACCTTGTTCTCTGGTCTAAGAGTTGGTTTCTTTACATGATACCGACAATTTTGAAGAGCCTAGAGTAACTGCAGCCTGGATATTTATTGAGAAACACTGCTAACAGTAAGAAAAGTGACACACAAAAGGAAGAAATGTCATTATATCCATTATTAGAAACATAATCACCTATAACTTATGGGACTTCATTAATTTTGATCTTATTTTTTTAATAATCCTGTTAGTATAACTTAGCTAAAAAGTTGAATGCTGTGTGATGAGTAATCCAGTAGGTTTGTCTATTAACTTTAAGAAAATTTATAGAAGTTTCTACAAGAACTTCCTGCTAAAAGGAGGGCGGGGATCCACGTTCAAGTTAGTGTAGTTACTAAGTTTGCTACTTATGTTTTAAAAGCTCAGTCTCCTTTTATTTTGTGAGAGTAAGTACATTAGGTTAGAGCTTCTCTGTTTTGAGACAGAGCCCTCTCTATCTCAGGCTGGCCTTCAACTTCTGCTCTTATTGCTTTCACCTGCAGAGTGCTGGCATTACAAGTGTGTTCTGTGCCTGGTTTACACGGTACTGGAAATTGAACCTAGGACTTGGTGTATGTTAGGAAAGCTTTTTACCTGAGCTGTAACCCAGTCATTTTTTTTTTAACTCTGTATGTCGTTTTTCATTTAGTCCAAGGATCAACCTTATTTTAATTAACACCTGGAAGCTAAAGAAGCTAAAGAGAATACCTGTTTATAGTTCAGGGATGTTTTTGATATGGAAACTTCCAGACACTGTGAATAAAAATTTGGAAAATTAAATCTTCATTTTATTTTACTGTGTTTATTTAAATATGTCTTGCTGCTTTCAGGCTTCTCTCTTAGATCTCAAAGAGCATGCTTCTTCGTTGGCTTCCTCGGGACTGAAAAAGGACTCACGACTGAAGACCCTAGAGATTGCTCTTGAGCAGAAGAAGGAAGAGTGCCTGAAAATGGAGTCACAGCTGAAGAAGGTCAGAGAAAGTTCCCGTTCTCACTTTCTTTACATAAGAACACTGTAGATAGCTCTGAGTCAGTCCTCCCTCCCTCCCTTCTCCCTCCCTCCCTTCTCACTCCCTCCCTTCTCCCTCCCTCCCTCCCTTCCTCCTTCCCTCCCTCTCTCCTTCTCTCCTCCCTCTCCCTCCCTCCAAGGATGGCAGCAACAATACATATTTTACAGTTATCTTCATTTTTTTAGTGGCTAGAGGTATGTTTGGTTTTGTAGCTGTGACCAAACAACCTAAGATATATAACAGTAAAGTAGGAAAGATTTATTTGGATTTACAGTTTGAGAGGTTACAGTCCGTAGTTGGATGATCTATTGCCTTTAGTTTTTAGTGAGGCAGAATATCACAATCAGATAGGAATGAGGACAGTGTTCCTTTAAGGTCATGTCCCTGGTGACGTGCTGCCTCTACTGAGATCCTGAGTGTCACTCTCTCAGGAATGCTATCACATTATGGTTCTATGGTTAACCCACAGATTAGGTCAGAGCCCTCCTGACTTACTCACTTCCCAATCACCCTAGTTCTGAATATATCATTGGCAAATCAAGCTTTTAGCATATGACTTTGGGAGGAGTAGGAAGACTTTCATCTCTGAGAGACAGCTTCTAGAACGTTCCTGCAGATGGCTCTTTGCTTATTCAGGGCTGCTTCTCTTTCCTTTTGCTTTTACCATTCTGTACCTTTATTTTTGCAAGCGCATTAACATCCTGGCCTTTCACTAGAATCTTTTTTGATGTCTGCTTAGTCTGTGTATTTTCTTTCTAGTTACTTTGACAGTTTCATGATATATATTGTACATATGATTACTGTCACTTTCTCCTTTCCATCCTTTTTACCTGCTCCTATGTCCCCTTCTCACATGCAGTTTTTTGCTTTGTTTTAACACACCGAGTTTAAAGGCAATGGCTTAGTTTACTTTCCATTTCTCTGATAAACACCTTGACCACAAGCAACAGGAAGAGGTAAGGGTTTATTTCATATATCTTAATGTCCATCATGAAGGGAAATAAGGGCAAGAATTGAGGCAGGAACTGAGGAAGAGGCCATGGAAGGATGGTTACTCTCCATGGCCGTCTATACAATCAAGGACCATCTGCCCAGCCCACATGGGCTGAGCCCTGCCACATCAGTAATTAGTTAAGAAAACAGCCCACAGACTACAGGCAATCTTATGGAGGCAATTTCTCAATTGAAATTCCTTCTTCCCAAATGATTATAACTTTTGCCAAGTTAATAAAAAACAAAGCAGCACCCTGGACTGTATGACCATGGTTTGGTATTGTTCATTGGAACATGCTGATTGAATCAGTGCTGATCATAATATTGCCAACATCTGGAATCCATCAGTAGGTCATAGTTCTCAGGATGGGGCAGGGGGACATAGGGTTCTCAGCAATCCATGATTGACTTGACAGTAGGCTAATCTCATGGAGGTCCACTGCTGACAGCTACTCCTGTATGAGATCATGATTGCATTGACTATATCATGCCCTCTAGATAACATTTTATAGTTTTTTTCCATATGTTCCAGCCCCTATATTCTTCACACTTCCTGTTCTGTAATGTTGCCTGAGCATGAGAGGGGGTGGTAGAGTGTTGAGTGTCCCTCTGAGGGTTGAGCATTCAACCATCATTTTTTTTCTTAGTATCTTGAGAAACCCCGAGTCTTGCATTTTGCCACCTTTCATTCCAAAGAGAAGTTTCTCTGATTAAGACAGAGAGTTCAATATCAACCTTGTCTATAAAGGGAGTTCTAGGACAGCCACAGCTGTTACACAGAGAAACCCTGTTTAAAAACAAAAACAAAAATCCAAAGACAGAGTAGTATTTATATGTGGGTATACTTAGAGGTATTTAGAAGGCAGCTTGGCACTATGTCATCTTAGCTAAACAACAATATTAAGTTACCCTTTGGTTATAAGACCTTCTTAGTTAGCCCTGGCTTCTTTAGCTGTGTTGATAGCATCACACATGAAATATTTCTCATAGAGTGGGCCTTAAAACTAATCAGAGAATGCTTGGTTTTCCCATAACAATGGTGCCACTATTGTACCAGGGGCATTGCCTGGCAAGTTGGTATTGTAGTTCATAGGGTTCTCAGCTGGATAAGACCACTGATGCCTGTTATCTCTTGGTAGCCAGCAGGGCACTCTTGCATTGTGAAAGCTGCCTAGCAGAGAGGACACTTCCAGCTCAGTTCTGGTTGGCTTCTTTGTATGGGCATTACTTCTTTCTTCCTCCCTTCCTTCCTTCCTTCCTTCCTTCCTTCCTTCCTTCCTTCCTTCTTACTGTTTTTAGGACTTAGTACATACTATGTCGAATTGTAATACAGAGAGAACACCTTTGTCTTATTCCTGATTTTAGCAAGAATGCTTTGAGTTTTTCCTCCATGTAGGATTATGTTATTTACATTTGTCATATGTAGCTCTTACTATGTTGAGATAGGTACTTCCCTTGCCTAGTCTATCAAGGAGTTTTTATTATGAAGGGATGTTGGGTTAGAAGACTATTCTTCATCTATTGAGATGATTTCTCTTTGTTCACAGTTTTTGTGTGTGTGTGTGTGTGTGTGTGTGTGTGTGTGTGTGTGTGTGTGTTTATTTGCTTTTGTTGTTTTATTTATTGAGACAGGGAGGATCTCCATATCCTTTGCTGGCCAGTAACTTGTTTCTGTACTTGTGCCTCTGCCTTTATAGTGTTGGGATTACAAATGTGTGCTTCCATACCTGAGGTTTGCAACTTGGATTAAATATTCTACTCTATTTGCAAAGTTAACTAATTAATTCATTTATTTTGAGACATTTTCCCACTATATAGCCCTTAATGTTAATGCAATTTGCTATGTAGATCAGGTTGGATTGGAACTTACAAAGTTCTACGTACTTCTGCCTCTCAGGTACTGGAATATAGGCTGCCATGCTCAGCTGTAAAGTTGTTTTAAATAAATATTTGTAACACTTACTTGCTAAATTTCACTTTTTTTGAGTTTATATGGGTTATAAAAAGTTGCAAAGGCCTGTAATATGATTGAATATTCTTGAAATTCCATTTTAAAGTATAAATGTCCAGTCTGTGGTAGTGTACACCTTTAATGTCAGCACTTGGGAGGCAGAGGCAGGAAGATTTCCATGAGCTTGGGGCTAGCCTGGTCTACAAAGTGAGTTCCAGGATAGCTATGACTGTAACAAAGAGAAACCCTGTTTAGAAAAAAAATGTAATTAAGATGGTTGATAATATTTGATAATATTTTTTACTTTTTACTCCCTTGTAGCAGATTGATCTTGTCCTTGTCCTTGGTTGTTTATTCTGGATCATTGGCTCCTGAATTATATTTAACCTTGAACTGCTGTTTAGCTACTGGTCATTTCCCTCCTTCCCAGCCATTCTTTTCCTACCATTCACTCTGTCAGGGCATGTGCATCTGGATGCTCATAGAGGCCAAAAGATGGCTGTTGTACTCCCAGGAAGAGCAGCAAGAGCTCCTAACTGCTGAGTTATCTTATACACCTCTTGCCTGTTTTAAATCAAATAGAAGTTATCTTCAATACAGTATATAAATGTTAAGTGATTTTCTGTCCTGTCAGTTTACAGAGTGGGTGCTGAGGATTTGTTTATAGATAATATAGAATTGTCCATTGTCTTCAGAGGAGCAATAGTCTCTGTTAGTAAGAAGAGACACTTACCAGCAAAGCCTGGTAAATCACAGGGTCTAGGCTGTAGGAGACCATGGAAGTGACATTTAACTAACTGGAGACTCAAAAGTTAGAATCCCCTCGCATGTATGAACCCCAGCCCACTGGTAGTTTCTCTTTCACATTTGTAGCGTGAGCAATATTATAACTAACTTTATAGATTTATCTCCGTGGCATTGGTTAGAAGCTGTTGTTGATACTTGTTTGTCTTTTGGTTGCCCCACCCCAAACCTCTTTCTGTTTCCTATTTCCTATTATCTTTGTCTCTGTGTGTATGGATAGTGGGCATGTCTTTCTTTATTTCTGCTCTTGTTTGAGTCTTCAGTTTCTCTTTTGATTTGTACATATGGTGAGCAGTCTGTGAAATTCCTCTTTACCTCTCCTTGCTGTTAGACACTGTATTAAGAGAGTCACTGTGGCTTTCTCCTATCTATGAGAAATGATCAACACAGGAATTCCCCTCCTCCTTCAACTACAAAACGGACAAAAAAAATGTGAAATAAACTAATTCAGACAGTTGAACAACAGTGGTCTCTGTTTGTTTTCTAACCTTGCATTGTTGTTTTTCAAGTAAAGGTTGGGGTGGTAAGTGTTGAAGAGAGTAAATTTTTTTTCCCACCACTGGGAATGGAAACTTAAACAAATGAACTTGGTGACATGCTCACTCTAAAAAAAGTAGGTAATACTTTCACAAAAGTTTAACTTAATTTATACAAACTTTTCTCATTTACTTATGCTTCTTTGTGTCACGTTTTCCTAAAATATTTTTCTGAAGAATTTTTCTTCCTGTAATATTTTTCAAATATTTTGAGATGTAATATATTTTTCTGCTTACTGAATAAGAAAAAAATACAATGTCTTAGTCTTTTTCTTTATATACACCTGGCTTTAGATACTTGGGAGAAGTAGTATTTTGGTTTGCTGTGAGCCATTTGAAACTTGGTCCTTAGTTGGTGCTACTGTTTTGGCAGTTACAGAACCTTTTGGAAGTGAAGTCTTGGTGGCAGAAGTAGGTCACTAAAACCCTTAGGTTTAGGTTTTAGCCTGTTATTCTTGTAACTGAACTCTCTGCTTCCCATCTGTCTCCAACATGTCATAGGTCATGTTGTATATTTCCAGCTCCCAGCACCATGGCTGGAGCCCCAACAGCTATTTCTTCTCTGATTAGATTTTACCCTTAAACCACAAGCCAAAACAATTCTCTCTTCCTTTAATTTTTTTCCCCCCAGTATTCTGTTAAAATAACAAGAAAATGCAATGAGGAATTTAAAAATTTATGCAATATACTTTAAAATGTATTGACTTTACTAGGTGCCTTTTAGAACAGAAGCCTGAATATTATATCTTTTCTTAGTTCTTAGAGTGGGTCTTGCTTTCTAACTTCATTTGTCAGTCCCAGGTTGTCTTGTAAAATTCTGAACTTTTACTTTAGCAAAATATACTTGAGAGTAGCTATATATTCTCTCTCTCTCTCTCCATCCATCCCTCCCTCCCTCCCCTTCCCCTTCTCTCCATTATTTTCAAGTCTCACTATGTAATTCTGACTGTCCTAGAACTCATATATGTGGACGAGGCTGACTTTGAACTCACAGAGATTCCCCCTGCCTCTGCCTCCCAAGTGCCTGGATTATGCCCAGTTAAGAGTAGCTATTTTCTTAACCTAGTTCCATTTGCACAGCATGCAGTTGTATCTGTATGATTCTAAATGCTGTGGGCTATATGATTCGTACATTTGGCAAAGCCACATATAGGAGAAGGAAATTCAGGAAGGCCCAAGGAACTAAATCTCAGCATTGATAGGAGTATGATCAGAATTTATAGCCTTCCAATGCTGTCTTCATTAATCTCATTCAACTCTAAACATCAATTGGGTTATGATGAGTTTAGGCCTCATAATAAATACTCTAAGATAAAATAGTTTTTAAAAGAAATCAATTTGTAAACTAAAATAATTCTCTGTTTATTAATAATCTTTTCCTTATGTAGTCCTTACGCAGAGTAAGGCCATTAGAAATTGAAGATCAGCCATTTAAATAGTTAATAACACTCTATTACATTGAAATATAAATATTTCTTTGGGTATGACTTGCTCACTGGCACTGTACCTGTGTTGGCTGGACTTTGAAAATGAGACTTTGAAAAAGATTTGTTTTTGTAGGCACATGAAGCAACATTGGAAGCCAGAGCCAGTCCAGAAATGAGTGACCGAATACAGCAGTTGGAGAGAGAGATTGCCAGGTACAAAGATGAATCCAGCAAGGCCCAGACAGAAGTTGACCGCCTCTTGGAAATCTTGAAAGAAGTGGAAAATGAGAAGAATGACAAAGATAAGAAGATAGCTGAGTTAGAGAGGTAAGAGAAGGAAAGCTAAGTGGGAATCACGGGGGCAGAAAAATGAAAACATGGTTTTACTACTTTCAATGAAATGGTGTTTTTATCTACCCCTGAATTAGGTTCTTCAGTGCTTTGTACCACTTTATTATCTACTTAATCTTCTAAGTCAATGTAAATTTTTTGTTATAGTCCCTACCTAAGAGATGCCATAAAATGGAGATACAATGAGAAACTATTACTCAAGCATCACTGATAAGAGAAAATATTCATTGGATAAGGGCTATTTATCCTAGATATTCAAGAGTGTATAAAGATCCTTGGTTTTATCATTGCTCTGTCTAATCAGTGAATGATCCTCAAGTGTAAGAAGTTGGTTTCTTATGCTAGGCTTAGAGCTCTGTTGCTGAGCTGATGCTCTTTTGGGATGTGAATTTTTAGAATGCATAATTTAGAGTTTTGGAAAGCAAATGATTGTATCAGTTCACTCATGAAAACTAGGAGGGACATTATGGTGATAATAATGTATGAGATTCATAGGTGATTCCTGTCAGGTTTGAATTTTGAAATCTTCACAGTGGGTTGTATTTGAACAGATCCTGCCAATTAAATAGCTGTCTTGGAATAGGTTTTGTCTTTTATACTGAAGACCAATTATATATATATATAGTCTATTATTACCATCTCCATTTAAATGGTCTATTTAACTTAATCTCCTAGGTACACATTAACACCTTTTCTCATAAAACTTCATAGTCACCATATTCTTCTTGACACCCACAAAGATTGACAGTGACTGGATGAAGTCACTAATTCACATAGACCTTTAGAAGCTTGATTTAGGAATAATTTATTTTCGTTATCTTCAAAGGGCATATCAGACATCATCTTTACATTTTGGGAGTTAGTAGTAGGCTTGATATTTTCCTTTCAAGTTTCTCCTAATCCATAGACTTGACTCCTTTAGTGAACCAAAAATGCAAATAATAGGATCTCATTCTTGCCTATACATCCCTTTAGTTTGATATTAAGTCTCGGCATATTCTATAGTTCTTGATTATTTATTTATTTTTATGTACATGTGTGTTTTATCTACATGTGTGTGTACCACATGCATGCCTGGTGCCTTTGGAGAGTAGAAGAAGTCATTGGATCCCCTGAAACTGGAGTTACAAATTATTTTGAGCTACCATGTGGGTGCTGGGAATCTAAACTTGGTCTTCTGGAAGCCATTGTTTTTAACCACTGAGCCATCACTCCAATCCCTTTGATAAAATTCTTTAAATCTAGATTTCAAACTTTCTAGAGCTTCCAAGAATATAGATTGTGTACATTTTCATTTATCTTGATCTTTGAATGTCTCCCTTTCCACAACTTGTTTGTGTACATACACTTACTCTAATCTGTACTTAAGTGGATCAGTTTACCATTGAGGGAAGCCAGGGCAGGCACTCAGTCAGGATCCTGGAGGCAGAAACCAAAGTAGATATCATGGAGGAACACTGGACTCGCTCCCTCTCCACCTGTGTTGGGGTGGCTCTAGCCCATTGTGTGCTGAGTTCTTGAATAGCAATCACTAATCAAGAAAGTGCTACATATATCTACATGCTAACTTGATGGAGGAAATTCTTCAGCCAAAGTTCCCTCTTTCCAGATAACTCTAGTTTGTGTCACATTTGGAAAAAAATAACCAGCATACACCTCAGGGATTACTATAACTAAAAATATATCCTCTATACTTGGCATGAATTTCCATATGGATGCATAATGAATGGACCTTTTTCTGGTATATTATAGAGGGAAAAGTGATAGAAATCGATTTCAGAAGAATTGGTTTTGCCTGCCCTTTTAGTCACACTAAATACTCATGTGTTGGTAGTCCCTTGGAGCATTGTCTCCTGTGCCTTATGTCATATTTTGTTTTACAGCTCTGTGTTAATTGATATTAACGTTTCTTCTAACATCTTCCCATTTTGTTTATGTTCCAATATTGCTGCTCCTGGAGTTGATTCTTATTTATTTAGTAAATCAATGTATTTTTTTCTGGTAACTAAGTATGCATCAGTGATTTGAGATAAAGAACAGAACGCTCTGGGGAATGCTTTTCCTATGGAGAAAAGCTAACAAGACGAAAGGTGGCCCCCTCTTTCTCTTGGATAGTCTCATGTTTGGACATGATGCATTAGAACTACTGTGGCTACTTTGTCTCGGCCTAAAGTAATACTAATATCCTGAGGGTGACAGAGTCAAGAAAAACACAGAGAAAATTACAGTCTGGGTAGACCTCCATCCCCACTCATACCTGGCAAGAAAAAGAATGAGGGCTGGAGCTGGAGGACACTACTTTTGCTCATGGTGTCTTGAATCTTTGTTCACTTTTTCATGCCTTTCATCATAAGAATAGGGAAGGGCTGGATCAAAAGAAAAGACCTTGACTGGTGGCCTGGGCTAAGGTCTTGCCCTGCATCTCTATAGCATCTTCCAGATAGTTGGATTACTGGTAGGAAAACAAGATGGGTAAAATTGGCAGGATCAAAGTTATTACTCAGCCCTCCTGCAAGGTACAATTCTACATCTAATGGCTATGCATTTATTAATGCTGTCTTCTATAGAAAGACAGTGCTATCCCTAAGAGAGCACATTATGTCTGAACCTCTCAGAAGAACCAGTACAGATACTCTGAAATCCACATGAAATGAACTGAAAGTACTATTTAATTTATTATTACTTGCAAAAAGGGAGTAATTATGAATGCTTGGTAGGCCATCAGCTAGGTATCTTTTCTTTAGAAAAGCACCAAGGCTCCTCTTGAGTGACATGAATAAACACCATATTCTTGATTCATTCATTTTCTAGAGTCTGTCCTGACACTGGAAGATGAGGGAAGGACTCATTACTGCATAAAGATGCAGACTCATACTGTATCTCAACTGACTGTTGTAGATATTACAAAAGATAGTATTTTAAAGAAACAAAATGAAAACTAAGAAAAAAAGGAAAACTAGAGAGAGACAGAACTTTGAACCCAAAGACGCTATTGCTGAAGCTCCATTCTCTCCTATTTAAACCAGTTCAGATTGTTTGATATTTATAGTGTAGTGTTGTAGCCAGATCTCTGCCCCCAAATAGCAGAAACAAACAGTTTGAACAAAATTTTTATTGTTGTTGCTTTTGTCTTGTTTAAGCTTGGAAGTAGGACATGCTGACACATGTTTATAAACCTAGTGCTTGCTGGCTGAAGCAAGAGGATGAGAGTGTGAGGCCAGTTTGGGCTATATAGAGAACACAGTCTGAAAAGCCCCCTCAACAAAGCTACTGACGACCAACCAGCAAACAAAATAATAAACAAAAACAAAAATTAGAATTGAAATGGCTAGAAGTAGAAGCAATATTGGAGATTGTCTCTACTGAATCACTTTTCAATAATAAGTAATATCAGTACTGTTTTAATTATATCAGCCAAGCCAATATGCTCAGTGGGTATGAGTGGGTGTGAGGACCTGAGCTTAAACCACAGTAGGTGAAAAAAAAAAAAAATCAGGTGTAGCCATATGTGCATCTAGAACTCTAGCACTGTGGAGATGGAGACCGGAAGATCACTGGGAATAGGGCTTGCTGTCCATCCAGTGTAGTTAAAACAGCAACCCCAGGTTCAATGGGAGACCCTGTGCGAGGGAGTAAGGCGAATGATAGAGCAGGATGTCTGACGTCCTCCTCTGGCACTAGCTCACACATAATAATACATCACATTCTTAGTCAAAAGCAGTGGCTTTATTTTTAGAATGTCCGTATGTGTCTCTGTGTGTAAATTTTTATTTTGATGTGTTTTCCCTGTGTGTATATATGGGCACTGCATGTACAATGTCCACAGAAAGCCAGAAGGACCACTGAAATTGGAGTTACAAATTGCTGTTATTTACCATGTGGCTGCTGGGAATTGAACCTAGTTCTTCTGGAAGAGCAGCTAATGCTCTTACCTTCTGAGCCACCTTTCCAGCAAGTCCACATACATTTAATTCCTACATTTTTGTTTTGTTTTATTTATTTTGTTTGTTTTAGTGTGAGTATTGATTGAATGATACCCTTCCCTGAAGAAGATGCCTTTGACCTGATTCTGGGGCGAGGCAGCTTGTGAATTTGGGGGTACATTTTTGCCTCTTTTCCTATTGATATTTACTACCTTCTTCTTCTAGTGCAGTGGTTCTCAGCCTGTGGATCTCAACCTTTGGGTGTCATATATCAGATATCCTGCATGATAGATATTTACATTACAATTCATATTATTAGCAAAATTGCAGTAATGAAGTAGCAATGAAATAAATTTATGGTTGGAATGAACACAACATGAGGAACTGTGTTAAAGGGTCACAGCATTAGGAAGGGTGAGAACCTGCTCTAGTGTTTGCTTCTTCAGATCATCAACATTATCTAAGCTCCATTACTTGGCCCACATTAAGAGCCCAGCCCAGTATGCTGAGTGAATATGTTCATCATTGTGAGAAGATCACCACAAGGCAACTTTGTACGACATAAGAACATATCCTCCCTCACCCAAGGGTGAAGTTGGCAAGGGAGCATGTCTCTGGATTTTCACACCAGCTCATGCCCAGTGTCTCATCTGGCCATTCTCTTGCTTCTACTACTCCTTCCACTCTGGTCTCTGGAAGCTCTAGTGCAGATTCCACTGCAGGTCTGCCCCTTTAAGAAATAAGAAAGCAGTGGTCACCCTGTAGAGCTAATCTTGCCTGTTAAGGAATAAGACTTGAAAGTTGATGAGAAATCTTGTATAACATACCCTATTTACCCTACACCATGGTGCTTTTCCCAGATGGTCTCTTTCGGGTTATGTACTCCTGGATCTTTTGTGTCTGACCATAGCAGGGTGTCCCACAGGCTGGCACACCACCCTCACTTTTTTCCTACTCTCTTCAGTAGAATTCACAGTAAAAACAAGCTTTGCTTCTTAGCCACACAGCGCATGGCTTCAAGGGAGAGCACAGCAGGGTGATGAGACACCATAG